CTATTATCGCAATACTTGTTTCTATCTTTTGGTTTATTTTTCTGACTTCTTGTTCTATCTCTCTTTGTTCTTCTTTCGTTCTGCTAGTCCTTTTCTCTTTTTTACATTTTTTAACTAACTTTCTCAGAGTGTTTATTGCTATTAGCAGTTCTGAGCAGATTTTTTTTGGAGCTCTGTTGCAACCTGAGTTTAGCACTTTCTTGCAAAAGATTTTTTCTTCAGCTGCTTGTTTAATGCTATTACTGATGTTATCCCATTCCTTATCTAGATCTATAGTATCTGAAGATCTATTGCTATTTTCATTAAAGAGTTCATCTGACTACAGCTTAATGTTTAGTTTTTTTTCTAGCAATTGTTGTAACCTGATTCTGTAGTCATTCCAATTTTCTTCTGTTGCTTTATCGTACAGAAAAATTGTTTTTTTAACTCCTTTTTTTCTGGTTTGTGCTAACCTCTCTTTATATCTTAGATGATCTAGTAATATTTCTGCTGCCACTAAGCTATGATCACTACCTGTTTCTGTGATCATATCTTTGATCAGGGCTTCTTTAAGACCAAAGTTTAGACTTTCAGAAATCCAAATTTGATCTATTCTTGTGCTATCCTTACCGTTACTCCATGTAAAACTTTTTTTGTAGGGATGCAATTCTCTGAAAGTATCAGAAAAGTTTTGTTTTATCATCCAACCATGTAATGGCAGTTTCTTGAAGTTGTTGTTTACTCCATTGCTTTTGTCAATACTTGGTTATATGATGTGATTGAAATTACCCATTACAATAAAGTACATATTTGGTCTTCTTTGAGTGACTTCTCTTATTATTATTCTTTGTACTTCTTTTCTTCTTTGTTGACTATTTAGTGCTATGTATACTATAAAAACTACTAGTTCTAATTGCTTAAAAAAAAAATGCACCTCTAGCAAATACCTGCTATACTTTCTAATCTGATCTATATGTTTAGACCAATTCTTGCTCACTAGTATACCTACTCCTGAACCTTTGTTTTTCTCTTTTCTGCATCTGCTCAAAAGCTATCTATTTTCTCTTTATGACTAATTAAATATTGCTCTTCTTTCTCATTAATGTTTGTCTCGACTATTCCTACTAAATCATATTTTTTCTCTTCAAATTTGTCTGCTAAAATTTCTAGTTTGTATCTGTTACCTTTTAATCTGTTTATATTATGTATAGCTATGTTAATTCTTTGTTTAATTTCTGCTACCTTGATATTGATTTCTATTGTTCTAATGCCTTCACTATTATGGTTTTCTTTTTGTGATCTCATGTTTTGTTGTACAAGTTTTCCTTCTTGTACAATATGAGTTTCCTTTAATTCAACTGGTGCAGAAGTTAGGAGCGATTTGGAGTCTTTACTCCTAGCTCCCTAAGCCTTTTCCCTAAATCTTGTACTAACTGTATTATGTATTCTATAGATTGGTTACTATCTGAAAACTCTTTTTGCATGTTTGCTTTCGACTCTCTATTACTCTTAGCTTCTCTTTGGTTGCTATTATTTTCTTTTCTCTTATACCTTTTCTTGTCACTTTCTTCTAAATAACAACTTTCTTCTTCTTGCATTTTTCCTTGTACGAATTTTGAGTATTCGCCTTCTTGGTCTTGATCTTCCTCTCTTCTCTTTTCCAGACTCTTTTCACTTCTTTTTTGATATACTTTGTCTTCTAGAAATTCTTTTGATTTTTGTTTATCTCCTGCTATTACTGCCTCTCGCTGTCTTGTCTCTGCTCATCTTAGTTTATTATTATAGTAAAACATCAAAAATCTTGAAGCATTTATTAAGTCTTCATTGCTTTCGAAGTATAGTGTTGCACTTCCCATATTGTTGTTATTTGAGTTCTTAAAGATGTATAGTGCCCTAGCTTCTGATCTTTTAACTTGTCTCCATAGTAGCACCTTATTCGTATTTTCTGGTAGGTCCAGTAATCTTTTGCTAAACCTATTTCTTGTATGAAGCAACTCTAGATTATTAGTACCTGTTGTTATCCTTACCAGTATTTGATTCATAAAAGGTAAACACCAAATTTCCTTCCTTCTTTCTTCATCATATATTCCCATTTTAAACTCTATTTCTGCTCTTGTCTTGTTATATGTACTTTTAATCATCTTTATATGTTCAACTCTTCCTATAAAGCGAACCATCTCAAAGACTTGTATTCTTTTTGCCTAGCTTGGTAAGTCCCAGACTGTTATCTTGTTTCTATCATCATCTAAAGAAGGATTCTCTTTCTTTTTTCTTCTTGTTAGAACTTCTTCTAACTCGATCTCTGCTTGTTCTAGTCTTTTCTTCTTTTTACTTATTTCTTGTGTAGAGATTTCTTCAGCTTTAAAAGTGTTATTAGGAGTTCTAGTCAGACTATCTTCTTCTGTCTCTTCTTAGAGAATTAATTTAGCTTTTTTATAGTCTTCTTTTTTGTTTTCTAATTTCTTTTTCACCTCTTTAAAGCTTTTCATACAGTCAAAGATTAAAGTACACCAAAGATTTCCTCATTCAAACTTTTTAGATATTTCTCTCAAATATACATTTCTTCCAATCGATCATCTTAATGACTTTTCTCTATGTTTGGGATTGTTTCCGAGGACTTTAATAGCTGCTACTTTGGCCTTGATATTCTTTTTTTCTTCACAGCAATCTTTATTTGGTGCTCAAATACTTCTCTCTAGTGATGAATCCAACTCTGCTGGTAGAATTTCGTCTTCTGATTTTTCTGTAGAAATACTGTACTGACTCAAGCTTGTTGAATGTATTTCTTTCTTTCGTATTTCCTTAATATCTTCTATCAGACTATACTTTATTTTGTTTTCTTTATTCATTGTTATTTGTTTTTCTTCTAATAGTACTTGAACCTCTATATTATCTTCTAAAGTAGTTGTATCTAATTGATCCACTATTTCTATGTCTGATTTATTCTCTTGTATTGCTATTTCTTCCTCTTTTACTATTGCATTTTTGAGATCTTGGCCTAATACAGTCTTAACTCTATTGATTCCTTCTGTTATTGCTGCTCTCTCTATGACCTTTCTCCACTCTCTAGCTACAGTTACTATGTCACTTTCTATTTCTAATATCTCTGCGATTATTTTATCTATATGATCTTCTAAACCTATTACTAACTTGCTACTTTCTATTATTATCTCTTTACCATACTTCTTAGTAACTATTTCAACTAATCTTATTGCTTTAGCTCTGTTCCACATGTCTGTTTTCTCCTTTTGTTATTTAATTTATCTATCAACTTTTCTTTGAAGTGACTTCGCCTTTTTTCTAGAATTACTTGAGGTTTTTTCTTTTTCCCAGTGAAATTTCTGGTTTTGGTTATGTGTATCTTGTATCTATCTCTTGACATATAACACGTAAAATCTATCTATACTGTATTTATTTGTTTACCTTTTTCACGTATTTGTGTTACGTGAAATGATCTGCATTTTAGGGAGTATACAATTCCCACTTTTTTGAAGAAAAAAATTTTTCGAAGCAGTTTTTGAGTTGAGTTCTCTACTTGAGCTCTTGTTTTTCTTTTTGTCTCTTCTTCTTTACTTCTACTATATGTATTTCTTGTATATCTTTCTCTTTTGTTAGTATCTTAACTATTGTTTCTTAATAGAAAATGGTAGTTTTTTTGTTTTTCCCTTCTGTTCTAAAAATGGTCAGAATGATCGATGAAGAGAGTTTTTTGATTACTCAGCCTATTCCCATTTTCTTTTCTCTATTATTTCCTATTTCTTCACTTGCTAGTAACCTATCTGTATAAATATTTAGCACCCTTTCCCCTTTTAACTTTTCTACTATCTCTCTTAGATCTTTTTGAACATTCTTATCTTCGATTACTCTTTGTATTATTGCTTCTTCTAAGCTCAGTATTTTTATCTGGATGTTGTTCTGGATTGGGAGTTCTTCTCTTAAATATAGCTTATATTTATCTATATAGGCTGAGAATGGTAGTTTTAAAGTGAATATACCTGTTTCATCTCTTGTTGCTTTGCTGACAACTTGGTGCCACTTGCTTATTGGCTTGCTAATTAGACAATTGGTATCATTCTTTTTACCAATACTACATCCTTCATATTTTGCTATACTTGTTCGAAGTGTATCTTCTGGATCTATATATTTCCAGTGCACTAATATAAATTTTTCTTGGGTCTTTCTAACTATTTTTTTTTTTATTTTTTTTATTTTTTTTATTTTTTTTATTTTTTTTATTTTTTTTATTTTTTTTATTTTTTTTATTTTTTTTATTTTTTTTATTTTT